GCTCAGTTGGTTAAGTGTCCGACATGGGCTCAGGTCATGATCTGGCAGTTTATGGGTTGGAGCCCTGCGTCAAGCTCTGTGCTGTCAGCTCAGAGCCTGGAACCTGCTTGGGATTCTGTGCCTCCCTCTCTCTCTCTCTCTGCCCCTCCCCCACTCATGCTCCAACTCTCTCTCTCTCAAAATTAAGTAAACATTTAAAAAAAACAATTCTTTTTAAACTCAAGGTGTTAGATCAGATTGGTGGCTTCTTGATGTATTGAAAGAAGTATTTAGAGACTGATAATATTAAAAGTAGGAAAAAATATGATGTTTGATAAATCAGTGAAGCCTTCATAGAGGCCAGTTGCCTATATCCTTTGACCCAGTAATTCTACTCCTAGGAATCCTCTCCTAAAGAGAGCAAGTATACAAATACACGTACCCAACAATGTACTTACAGTACAATTTTTTTTTTAACTTTATTTATTTTGAGAGAGAGAGAGAACATACAAGTCGGGAAGGGTCAGAAAGAGAGGGAAGGAGAGAGAGTCCCAAGCAGGCTCCGCGATGTCAGTGCAAAGCCCAACATGGGGCTCAAACCCATGAACTGTGAGATCTGTGAGAACTGAGCCAAAATCAAAAGTCATAAGCTTAACCACCTGAGCCACCCAGGAGCCCCAACACAATATTAATAGTAAAAAATTGGAAGCAACCTAAGGGTACACTAAGAGGAGGACAGTTAATTAAGTTATGGTATACATATACTATGAAACTTTATAGAGCCATTAAAAATGTGATAAAGATCTCTATGTAAATGGAAAGATCTCCAAATCATATCACCAATCTTTTAAAACAAAGTCACAGAATTAATACTTATAGCATAATTCTATATACAGTAAAAGAAAAAAAAAAACAGAAAAGAGCTAGAACAATGACAAGGAATAGAAGGAAGAGAATGAAGGAAACAGTTTTTGTTCTATGTGCTTCTATGTTGTTTGGTTCATGTACAAAAAGAGTAGATTTCACTATTCTTTACACAATTTTTAAGAATTACTTTGTTTTCAGAGCACCTGGGTGGCTCAGTGGGTTGAACATCCGACTGTTGGTTTCAGCTCAGGTCAAGATCTCAATTTGTGAGATCAAGCCCTGCATGGAGTCCTGGGACTCTGTCTCTCCCTCTCTCTCTGTCCCTCCCACCGCATGCACCTGTGTGCACACTCTCTCTCTCTCAAAATAAATAAAATTAAAAAAAATTACTTCATCCTCAATTGAAGAAAAAGTGGAATCTAAAAAAAACAAAATAAAAACCAGAACAGAGTGGTGGTTGCCAGAGGCAGAGAGTGGAGGCAGAGGAAATGGGTAAAGGTAGTCAAAAGGTATAAACTTCCACTTATAAAATAAGTAAGCCATAAGGATGTAATGTACAGCATGATGACTACAATAATACTGTCACATATTTGAAAGTTGCTAAGAGAGTAAATATTAAAAGTTCATCAAAAGAAAAAAATTGTAACTATGTATGGTGATGGATATCACCATATTGTGGTGATCATTTCACAATACATAAAAATATCATATTATGTTGTATACATGAAAATAATGTTAATTATATCTCAATAAAAATTTTTAATTAAAAAAAGAAATTAGTACTTTAATAACATCACAGAGTCTCAAATTTCGATGTCAAGGCTCCTTCTCAATTTTATGTAAAGCTCTTTTGCTGTTTACATTGATCCTCACTTTCCTGCCCCTTAGTCAGAACTTCTAGGTCTGCCCAACTTAACCAGGTTCATACTATACCAACAAGGAACCAGGCAAGCTTCTTTTGCATTATAATAGTCACTTGGGTATAAACTCTTACTCACAGAGCCCCTACACAGCTGATCAAAAGAAGTAGAGACCAAAACTACCAACAACTGTTAATATAATAAGTAAAAGAATAGTTATTACACAATGTATATTAAATAACTAAATATAATATAAACATTTCACAAGTAACAATAAATTCAACTGTGTAGAAGAATACAATATCCACTATTATCATCATTTCCAGGGAACACTCACATTTCTACGATAACCCAATCCAGAAGAAAATCTTTCTAGATCTCTTCCAGGGTCCCAAGGAGGTTTATATTTCAACAATCAACTATTTAAAAAAAATTTTTTTTAATGTCTATTTTTGAGAGAGAGACAGCATGAGTGGGGAAGAGGCAGAGAGAGAGGGAGACACAGAATCTGAAGCAGGCTCCAGGCTCTGAGCTGTCAGCACAGAGCCCAACATGGGGCTTGAACTGACGGACCACAAGATCATGACCTGAGCCTAACTGGGACTCTTAACCGACTGAGCCACCCAGATGCCCCAACAATCAACTATTTTAAT